CTCAAGAGATTCTCTAGCCTCAGCCTCCCAAGTAGTTGGGACTACAGGCACCTGCCACAACGCCTGGCTATTTTTTGGTTGTAGCTGTCATTGTTGTTTGGCAGGCCCAGGCTGGGTTTGAACCCGCCAGCTCTGGTGTATGTGGCTAGCACCCTAGCTGCTGAGCTACAGGCACTTAGCCAACAGTTGTTTTTAGCTGGCCCTGGCTGGGTTTGCACCCACTAGACTCAGTGTATGTGGTTGGTGCCCTACTCACTGAGCTATGGGCGTCACTGGCCCAGCTACTTTTTTAGAGACAGGGTTTCACTCTGGCTCTGGCTGGTTTCAAACCTGTGAGCTGAGGCAATCTACCCGCCTCGGCCTCCCAAATGCTGAGATTATAGGCGTGAGCCACCACACCTGGCTGAAACAATTTCAAAATTACAGCATAGGTGCAAGAATAGTAAGAGGACTACTGAATACCCTTTAACCAAGGTCATCGTTATTTGACATTTTGCTATATTTGCTTTACCATTCTATTTCTCTCTCAGAATATTTCTTCCTAAACCTTCTGTGAGTAGTTATAAATATCATTACCAATTTACCCCATAATATGTCAAGGCATTTGTTAAGAGCCAGAATATTCTCTATGATATCTATAATGAAGCAATAATTTAAACTGTAGTCCATATTTCAATTTCTTTGTAACATATTTCCAGTTCCATCCAGGGGTCTGGTCCGGTATAACATACTGCACTTAACGGTCATCATAGTTACACTTTAGTTACTGTTTTAGACTGATGCTCATTTTTCTCTGATTATGAAAATAACACACATTGCAGGTAAACAATTTAGAAAGCACAGAGTAAAACACACAGTTACCTTCTGAGGTTTTACTAAAAGGGCCGCAATCTCCGAGGTGACCACATTAACAATAGTAGTTATGTCGTCTTTGAAACGGTCAGAGAAGCGAGTCCTCCGAAAACTGTCCCGTTTGTCCATGTTATGTACATACTGGGCCATGCTTTTCACCTAAAGAGGGGGTGGGGGGGATGTCAACACAGAGATTGGTGACCTGCTGGAACAATGTGGAAAGGGGGGAAAGACTCGGAGAACAGCTCATCTAACAATGGGCCTCATCTGTGCTGGTGGTGCCCAAGCAGCGTCTGTACTAAAATGCTCCTGACACACGAATGGTTACCATGGTGGCAGGAGGTGGGAAGGGTGTCCTCCTCTTGACCCCAAGTCAGGGGGCTCCCTTCTTGCTGCTGAAAAACCCAGAACTTCATTCTTTAGCTACCGTGTTAGAAGACGCCCCTTCTGTCATCGGCCTACGTCAGACCTAGGCTGGGCTCTCACCACCATTCAGACATCACTCAATACACACCGCAGGGAAAGCAACTGCTCCGTGATACCGTCCCTGATGTGAACAAAGTCTTTTTCTGTTCCTGAAACTGCAGTAAAGAGAACAGCGGAGAAATGTTCCTCTTATCTTGAATTTTACAGTTTTTATTGAGGGAACATAGTTGCCAATAACGTTATTTCCTGCTTCTATAAATTTTTAACTGTATCATATGTTGAGTGGGATTTTGTTAGCTAACTGGACATCGAACCACTGCTGGAATGTTGTGTCTAGGGGAAATTATGTTTTGAGTTTTATATGTACACAGTAAAACCTCCATAGTTGACCACCACCCTACCTTGACCACCTCTTTAAGTTGACCTAATTTTCACGGACCAGACAGGCACCACATACACATATTGACACAGCAGTCCGAGTTCCCCATGTTTACCACTTCTGTCTATTGCCCAGTTTGTTACAGTCTCTTGGGTGGGTGACTTCCAGAGGTTTTACTGTATATAAAATCTGTCTGTGTGTCAATTGGTGACTACCGGTATTATGACTCCTAAAATAATCTCAATGATTACCACACTTTTATATCAAGTTCATGATTATTTTTTGTGCTCCTTCTTGGGACCACGAGATTGATGGGTCAGTACACCCCCTCTTTGATACTATCTGAGGTTGAGTCTTGCCCTTGTTAGAAGCTGCCTAGATCTTTTAGGAACATAGGAAAGACTGAGAGTCCTTGTGGTTGGCTGCCTATGCTCTGAGGTCACTTTCATGACTGTGTCCAGGCTAGTCAGAGAGTCACTGCAAAAAGAAACGTCCCTGGAAGTTGAGACAGTCGCATTCTGCCCACCCCCGTCTGGGCTGGAAGAAGAGGGGACAGAGATGGCTGTGTGGGAAGTGACTTCGACTCCCAAGAGCTACACGGGAGAACTTTTAGGTACTAACAGCAGATTTCAGTTTCTAAAGATGCAAGACTGGCAAGTTTTGTTAACACTAAGAGAAACAGAAAGAAAAAAAAAACAACAAAGAAAAGGCAAAATAAGAAGAGAAAAATTAAAGATAAAAATGTTTTATGCGTTTCATGCTTTCAGATCATGCCATAGCCAGCTCAGGCTAGACCTAATAGACGTTCTCAAACTATGGCCCGCAGGCCACATGCAGCCCGCCTAGGACATTTATCCGGCCCGCCGGGTGTTTTTCCCGCCTCTGCCTGTCCTGTTTAGCAGCTGACTCATCCAGGGGCCCATAGTCCGGCCCTCCGATAGTCCAAGGGACAGTGAACTGGCCCCCTGTTTAAAAAGTTTGAGGACCCCTGACCTAAGACATCTGATTCTGGTGCCCAAGTGGAAGAACTGTGGTTGCCTCTCCACTGCAGGGTCCTGTTTGGTTCAGGACACACGGATGTATCCGAATCCCATCCAGCAGTACACAGTTGGGAGATGACCTTAATGAGGGGTGGAAACTGGACTCCATCTTTGTCTGATAAAAGTGTCTCTTTCTCTCTACATGCTCCTCACAAAGGACCTCAGAAGATAAAGCCTCCTTGTTTTGGGCAACCCCAATGCTGACTCCCTGCTGGCTGACCCACCCAGCACCAGGCTGCATTCAGCTCCTGCCTGCTGAGTTTGCCGTCCTACAACCAGATGAATAATTCTCACAATACTGTTCTTCTAACTAATGGCCTCTTTCCAGCACGTCAGCAATTTGCCAGCTATGATGTCCTCTGGGTCTTCAGAGAAGAAGACCCACTAGAAATACTAGTACATGCCTGGCCCATTATTTGCAGGGTGGGGTGATGCGGGAAAATCTTTCCTCCGGTATTGGCCTTTGTGGCCCATTCAAAGTGCCTCGCCAGTCTTCTAAAGAACCCCTTAGTCCAGAACTTCGTGTCCTGAGCAAGTAAACTAGGTCACCCATTTACCTCTGGGTCTCCAAGGTCTGGCTCAGCAGTTTCTAGAAGCACAGGGATTTATTCATTAGCAAGTGTGGAATTCGCCCAAGGATTGTGTTGAAGAGCTCCAAAGCCAAAGTGGTTGTTCATTAGCACTTGGGCACTGACACAACTAAAGGGTGTTAAAGTTGTTGGCTGAGCCTAAGGCGGCTATTGTTTCTCTCTCTTTAAGCTTCTTGGGGGGAAAAAAACCTGTTTTGATTTTTAAATAACTTTCTGGCCATCAGTCAGGCAAACACATAAACAATGCATGGAGGACTGGGCTCCCTGTCCGAATCTGAGATCGATTTCCTTGCAAAGTCCTGGCTGGGGCTGGTGGTTTCAGTTGCCTCTGCCCCAGCCCCCAGACGGATTTCTTGCCCTTCTCTGTCTCTCTGAGTGCCAGGAAGGTGGTCTGTGTGGACTGTAGCAAGTGTGGCTGCCCTTTGGCTTCTGGTTGGAGTTGGAGGATGTGAGGCACCTGCCCGGGATCAGTAAATGGGGGTGGGGGCAGAGAACCCAGATATTAATATTGATTCTTACTGCCCTTATCCCTGTCCCAGTGGGGCTCTGGCAGTGGCAACATTTTGCTAAAGCTCCCGCTCTTTTCATGTGGACCAGCTTTCTCTAAGCCTCAGTTGCACCATTCTCTTGATTCTTCAGAGGCAGGTAGGTAAATGCTCGGCAGTTGCTGCACCCTACATGCCTCTCCAGTCCTCACTGGCTCCTGTAACCTTGCGCAGGGGCATTTTGATCAGTGCCTTTTAGTTAACCCTTTTGAATAAGGCCAATTCTGTCCTGCCAGGACTCTGGCATGTAAATAGAAGCAGGATACACAGGGCATGCAGTGTTGGTTTTGATAACTCTCATGCCTCAAGATGAGAGAGGAGTGGGTTTTATGGCCAGTCTGTTTCCTGCCCGAGCACAGAGCTCATTGTCACAGCTAGTGCTCTTGCTCCAAGACTTGTGAGCTCCTGTCAGTCACTTTCATGAGCTTGGCATTTGGAAGCCCAAAACTTCTAGTGATGGCTAGATATAAATTCCAAAGGCCCCCCCTCCCCATTCAGAATTCACAGAGTAGAGGTGGTATACACCAGTGGATCATTACTGTGTTTGGAAATCACCTGGAAAAACAGGTGAATGAATGCGACTGGCCTCCACGCTCCTAATTTTCTAATTTTGGTAGTTATAAGGAGGATCTCTTTTTTTTTTTTTCAGTTGCCCTGGGGTTGAGTGCTATGGTGTCATAGCTCACAGCAACCTCAAACTCTTGGGCTCAAGCTATTCTCTTGCCTCAGCCTCCCCAGTAGTTGGGACTGTAGGCACCCACCACAACGCTCAGCTGTTTGAACTGTTTTGAGATGGAGCCTCTCTCTTGTTCAGGCTGATCTTGAACTCCTGAGCTCAAGCAATTCATCTGTGTTGGCCTCCCAAAGTGCTGGGATTACAGGCGTGAGCCACCTCACCCAGCCTTCTAGGGAGGATGTTAAGAATCTGCTTCATTTTTACTAAGCACCCCTAGATGATTCTGTTACAGGGCATTAAAACTGGGGCTTTGGGATGTTACTCAAACTAGGGTTAGGACCTTGTGAAGAGATTTGATTCCTAGATGCCCTTCCGTGGCACGAGCCTGACTTCTTTTAACGATTACACATCACTTCTCATTCCCTCCCAGAGTGTTTTATTTCTGTTTCTTTTGACCTCTTTGTTCTCTGTGTCCTGTAGTTCAGCATTGCTTCCTTTTTCTTAGGCTTGAACTTCCATCTAAAAACCAGAGCTCAGGTGGAAATCCTACCATTTCTCTCTCTCTTTAAAAAAATACGATTCAGGCTCGGCGCCTATAGCTCAACCGGCTAAGGCGCCAGCCATGTACACCTAAGGTGGCGGGTTCGAATCCCCAGCCCGGACCCGCCAAACAACAATGACGGCTGCAACCAAAAAATAGCCGGGCGTTGTGGCGGGCGCCTGTGGTCCCAGCTACTTGGGAGGCGGAGGCAGGAGACTCGCTTGAGCCCAGGAGTTGGAGGTTGCTGTGAGCTGAGATGCCACGGCACTCTACCCAGGGGGACAGCTTGAGGCTCCTGTCTCAAAAAAAAAAAAAAAAATACGATTCACTTACTGTCACAGAGGAAAGAACACCGTGACTAGAAAGCTAACACTATCACTAAATGTCAAGGCACTCCTAATCCTCTGAATTGTTTGCATGTACATTTGCATATAGTTGGGGTCTCTGCTTTTGTCCTTTTTCATTTAACATCATTTCACCGTGCATCTCCATCTATCAACGCTGACCAATGATTATTCTTAGAAGCTTTATAGTAAAATCCTATCACTTCCATTAATGATGAGACAAAAATAGTTAAGAATATTATTCTCCTTATTTTAAAATGAAGGAATTATAGTTGTACTTTTTGCTGTTTTTCCTGAGGAAACAATAGAAGTTTTAGGGTAAAAAGATATACAAGTTTCTTATTTTTTCCTAAGAAATACTAGTTGGCATTTGTATGATACCAAGTAGTCTGCCAGGGCTAGAGATGAGATAGGGAAGAAGACAGAGCCAATGCTAGAGATCTAGTAGCTGAAATAGGAAAACAATTGTGATAAGTGCTAGGATGGAAATAAACAGGGTGATTAAAATGAGAATCACAGGTGGAGACATATTATAGTATAAGGTCATCAGAAAAGGCCCTTTGGAGGTGCTGCAGGACAGTGTGCTAGGGGTGCCGGGCTGGTGAAAGGTGGGGAGTAGAAGGAGAATCTGAAAAAGGATTTGAAGCTGAAAGGCTGTCTCAAGAACCAAGAGTGAAATAGCTGAACAAGGGGGCTGTGCCTGGAGACAAGGCTGGAGATGGAGGTCAACAACAGAATCCTGCAGGGGCTTTGAGGCCACGAAAGGCATTTGTGATTCATTCTCAGCACACTGAAAGTCACTGAAGAGTTTTAAAGAGGGGAATGACATTGTCTGTTCAATAGGGTCTGCTCTGTGCAGAATGCATGTGCCAAAGGCAAAAAGTGGATACAGATAGGAAAAGAGGAAGTCATCACAAAGAAGCATCGGAGGGAGGACGGTGGCACGGCCAGGAAGGGAGCAGGAACATGATGAGAAGTGACAGGTTGGAGGTGGATTTTCAAGGTAGGATCAGCAGACTTTATGGAAGATGGATGAAGGGGTGAGAGAGAGAGAATCAGATTTCAAGAATAAGGCAGGTTTTAGCAGGACCAACTCAGGGAACAAAATGTCAATTCCTTCCTGCCCTGTTTCCCTGGTCCTTTGCAGCTAGATACAAATAGGCAGGAATCTCACCAGGAGCTCGAAGAAGAACCAGGCGTACTTGAAGACAGTTTCTCTCACCATCCCAGTGCTGACCACCATCTGCAGGGCAAGTTCCTCGTGGAAATGCTGAACAAGAACCACAAAAACCAGGTGATTATCCACCAACTCCTTTTTTCTTTCCCCTCACAATTTAATAGCTTGTCAGTTCCTGAATATGTGTCCTAGATGTCGTAGGCCTAAGTTGATGCTAAAATAAACTGAGACCAAAGGGCATTTAGGTGGGTAGAGGCTGCATTGGTACTGCACAGGAGAGCTGCGTTTGAAGGATGGACTCAGATGGAAATGAAACTGCCTTCTCTGGGGGGAGCTTTGAGGGTAGCAGCCAACATTGGTCCTGTCTCTCCTCTTAGATGCTCTGCACACCCTCCCTGTGACCATGTGTGAGTGATTCCACTCTTTGCTCTCGGTTTTCTCATCTATAATATAGGTTGGTGGTAGCAGCATTTCTCCAACTTGAATGTGTATCGGCATCTCCTGGAGCGCTTGATATCACCTGGCCCTACACCCCGAGATTCTGATTCAGTAGATCTGGGGCAGGGCCTACGAATCTGCATTCCTAACAAGTTCCTGTGTGATGCTGCTGGTCCAGGGTCACCTTGGAGGACCAGGGGTCCTCACCTTGAGGATGACTGTCTGGATGTATGTAAACTCCCTTCCAGACTAGACAATTTTTGGTTTTACAATCCCCAGTGGCATTGTGGGAAACTTGACTGGTCAGTTTGAGTGGGTCTTGCATTGAAAGTTACGGTGGTATCAGCTGAGCTCACCCTGTGTCCCAGGGTCAGATGCTTTGTCTTCAGGGCATTGACTACTCAATAGCAAAATGAGCAGATGGTGACTTCTGTCTTTCTCACTTTTCCCCATGTCCCAGCTTATCTGGTTTCTGGTTAATGCTCCTGACAGTAGCTTTGATGGGGAAGAAGTTCAAAACTAAAGTCAGGGTGACCACCTTGTCTCAGTGTGCCTGAGATTGTTCTGGAAAGTCCTGCCTCTTAGAGACCGCCCAGTCCTGGGCAAATCAGAATGGTCAGTCCCCCTAACTAAAAGCAGAAATGATGTCTGGGAATTTTCTGTGCTTTCATTCATCTTACACCCACGAAACCTAGAATAAATTCAGATGAACTCATTTTCTTATTGTTCAGTGAGTAAGAAAGCTAAAACTATGTCACATCCTTCATGTGTGAGTTAAGGTGTTTTTTTCTTTTTCTTTTTTGTAGAGATGGTGGAAGAGGGTGTGAGGGTGGTCTTGCTGTGTTGCCCAGGCTGGTCTCAAATTCTTGGCCTCCAGCAGTCCTCTAGCCTTGGCCTGCAGGACCATGACTGGCTGAAAGTTAAGTTTTAAAGTCAACACCTAAAGCAAAGATTGAGCAAAGATTGCTCTTGATAGTCCTTTAAACTACCCACAGAGTACAGTATGCGTTCAATCCAATTTACTGATTCTTAGGCTCCTTAAAATCTGAAAGCCACTTAGCTCAACTAAACGGAGACAAATGGAACATTTCTGTGCTTGGGAGTTCTAACTACCTAGATCTTCAGTGATGGATGGAGAATCCTTAGGTACTTTAGCTATAAGTTGGTTTCACTTCATTTTGTGACATGAATCGAACCTTAATAATCTTCATACATGTTAACACATTTGCTTGCTGTTAGGGAGTTTTATGTGAGCCTCTCCCAGATGGGAGAGGATTTAACCTAGCAGGTGGTCTAACTGTGCAGGTGATGTAACGGGCTACACCTTGATCTTCCCATTATAGGAAAGACACGCCCGGCTTCAAAGGCAGCCGCTGGAAAATAGGTCAGTTTGACTGCCACCGTCTTATGGCAAGAAAAGATTAGACAAGGATAAGCTGCTTCTTAAAGTAATTTATGCTGCTTCTTGGGCAGCATTATTACACAAACACCTTGCTCTAGTCTAGAGGTTATATAAAATAGCCAAGCAGTAAAGGCCTGTTTGCTGAGCTATTAAGGAAACATACTGGCTAAACTTCCTCCTGAAATGAAATGACTGTCTTCTGGTCATTTCAGGTCAAAATATAGCAATTGCAAAACCATATAGGACATGCCTTTAAGGAAGTTAGGCTGCAGGCAAATAATGTTTTTTTTTTTGAGAGAGAGAGTCTCAAGTTGTCACCCTCAGTAGAGAGCTGTGGCATCACAGCGCACAGCAACCTCAAACTCTTGAGCTTAAGTGATTCTCTTGCCTCAGTCTCCCAAGTAGCTGGGACTACAGGCGCCTGCCACAACACCTGGCTATTTCTTTTGTTGTGGTTGTTGCAGTTGTCATTGTTGTTTTAGGTGGCCCGGACCGGATTTGAATCTGCCAGCCTAGGTGTATGTGGCCAGTGCCGTACCCACTGAGCTATGGGCGCTGCCCCAAAATAATTGTCTTTAAGAAGGAAAATGGTATTCAGGTCTAGTCATTACTGTGTTTCCCCCCAAATAAGGCACTGTCTTATATTTATTTTTTCTCAAGAAGACACACTAGGGCTTGTTTTCAGGGGATGTCTTATTCTCCACGTTGAAATGCATAGCATGGCTATGCAGCATATCTGCATAGCCACTAGGCCTTATTATCGGGGTAGGGCTTATATTCAACAATTGCATAGAAATCCTGCTAGGGCTTATTTTTTGGGTAGGTCTTATTTTCAGGGAAACACGGTAGAAAGGGGCTAATGCTAACTTTTAGAGTGAATAACGAGTTTGTTTGTAGCCTAACCACACCTTCTCTTTACTTTTACTTCTACACCAGGGAACTCCTGGGACCTCTCCCTGGACATACGGTGCTAGGTTAGTGCACAGTCTGCAGCTCCAGCCTGGGCAGGCAGGGCTCCCACGCTCCATCTCTCCCTCACCCAACTCAAAGGGAGCAGTGCTGAGGCTCATTCCCTCCTAGCCTGCTTACTAAACATTTCCCTGCAGTGTTAGCTGTTGCAAATGGCTTCCTGTGTTATTCTTTGCAATTAGCATATTTACATTTTAATAGGAGTCTTGAAAAACACTCAAGACTTAAGTAGCTACTATAATTGTGCCTACGGAGTAGAAAACTTGGGACGGACTGCTTTTTGATTCCCATCCTTTAGAGCACACAGGCTGTGCCTATAGTTGGAGAATTTTATTGGTTTAAGCAATTCTGGTAAGCGGTGTAAAAGCTTGTAAAGTCTCTGAACTTATAGGTAAGGCTGATTACGGAGAATTATGAGAACACATTTCATTGTACTTTTTATAATCTTGAAAGAAATGATACTTAATTATTGTCATTCCCTTTTGTCCAGGATGAATGGTCTCCAGCTCACCTTCTACTGAAACAGAAACTAATCTTCAAACTGTGGACCCGCATCAGGTGGGAACCTCTTAGAAATGCAAATAAATTTGGGGGCCCTGGCTCAGATTTACTGAATCAGGAATTCAATCAGTTTTAATTCAATCAAGTTTTCCAGGTAATTCTAATGAATGGTAAAAAGAACCACTGAGTGAGCAGTCAGGGGGTCATAAAATGGAGGGTAAAGTAGAGCTGCAGTGTCTGTGTGTGTATGTGCGGGGACGAGGCAAGAGGGCTCTTGGATAGCGTCTGTTTTCAATCATAGAGAGAGGGCACAGGCAAATCCTTCTTTCCTAATCCTGTGATTATCTGCCCATTGCCCTGCTCAGTACCTTTTTGCTGGCTGGCCTTGGGGCTGTAGTCGAAGTTGGAACATCATTATTGCCAGAGCAATAGTAAGACATCCGGTTGCAGTTGCGATCAGCAATCTGAAACACATAAACCACGGCTTAATAGTCAACCAACAGTGGTACAAGGGAAAGGCCAGCCAGCTACCTGGAAATCACAGCCTCAGATTGATTCTGTTTTCAGAATTCATTTTTAATATCTTGTTTATTTATTTTTTGGCTACAAAGATAAAACCATTGCAAAATAAATATAAAACAAAGAGTAGGTGAAGTTACACCTAATTTCACTTGCTCCTGAGATAATCACTGTTGTTAGTTTGGTGCATAGCAACCTATAGTTAAAAACTAGTTGGGAAACGGGATGCTGGATAGTTCAACATTCTGAATTCAGTGGGAGAGCAAAAAAAAGGTGTGGGAACATTGCCTCTCTGTGGTTTAGTATAGTATTGTACTCAGTCTGCCAAATAATAAATCATCAAAAACCACTCTGATACGAAATAGAAAAGTCATTCTCTAGTCTTTTGGTTAGACAAATATTCCTCCCCTTGCTACAAAATAATTAGAAAAACGTGAACCCAGGCTACATCGAAATATAATATTTTCATTTGTATTAAAGAAAACCACACAGATCAAAGCTGTCGATAATATCTGCAGGCTACTTCTCTCCTGGGAAATCAGAAAGTGGGACCTTGACAATGAGGTTGAACCATGGCGTGCCAGCGAATGTTTAACCACCAGCTTTGGTGGGGGAGGGAGGTGGGGCTCATTTGTAGCGTTTGCCAATTTCTGTGCTGTAAGTATTTTTATCACGGCTGGTTTCAATCTACCAATATGATGTCATGGAAATGCAGAGGTGGGAAGAGATGTACAGCAGAATTTCAGGGTATGTCATGTCCACCACAGAGATACAAGAGATGTAAATAACCTCAAGAACAGAGAAAATAGCAACGTGCGGCAAAGTAATTAGGAAAAGGATGAGATTTACTTTTTTAAGGTGAACTTTTAATTTTTAAATAATTATTTAAATTGTGATAGTTATTATTAGATTTATAGACAAGCTGCAAAGGTACAACTTTGCGAAGGCACAACAGAAAGTTCTTACATGCCTTCCATCTGCTTTCTCTTAATGTTAATATCTTATAAGGTACGTTTGTCAAAACTAAGACATTAACATTGGTGCCTTTCCATTAACTAAACCACAGCCTTTATTTGGATTATGCCAGGTTTTTTCACTAATGTCTTATTTCTGTTCTGTGATACAATTCAGGATACCATTTCGTTTAGATTGCCTTCACTGGCTCACCGCCTGTGGCTCAAGTGGCTAAGGCGCCAGCCACATACACCTAAGGTGGCAGGTTCGAATCCTTAGCCCTAGGCCCGCCAAACAACAATGATGGCTGCAACCAAAAAATGGTCGGGCGTTGTGGCGGGTGCCTATAGTCCCAGCTACTTGGGAGGCGGAGGCAGGAGACTTGCTTGAGCCCAGGAGTTGGAGGTTGCTGTGAGCTGTGATGCCACAGCACTCTACCCAGGGGGATAGCTTGAGGCTCCTGTCTCAAAAAAAAAAAAAAATAGATTGCCTTCATTTTGAAGGTATCTTATTTAATTGTAAGTTTATATAATTTAATTTTTAATATCTGTTTTTCACAATTAGCTCAAAAAATTCTTGAGAATTGAAAACTGGCTTTCAGAAACAGGTACAAGCCAGTTCCAGCATATCTCTGGGTTGATTTTGGTAAGTCAAAAAGGGTAGAATATCAATAATTTTAAATGATTCAGATGATCATCAGAATCTCAGGGGATGGCTCCAGTAAGTTCAGTCAGGAATCAGAAACTCGGCAGAGGTAAGGACCAGTAGTAAATGATTCACCCATGACTACACAGCAAGGTGGTACCAGTGCTCACCTCCAAATCCTGGCCTCTACACACACTGTCTCGAGTAGGTGGAATTTATCAGGGAACTGTGTTTAAACCTAGAGATTTTAATTTCTCTTTATCAGGGGAAATTGCATTATTCTTATTGCCCAGCCACCCTGAGGCCACAGATAATTGGGGGGGGGGCGGGATTTGGATTGCAAATTCATGGTAGCTTTGTGAATATATTAAAAACCATGGGGTCATATACTTTAAAAGGTGAACTTTATGGTACGTAAATTATAACATAATTTAAAAAAAATTCTGAATGAGAGATATTCAACAATATACCTTACTATTATTCCTCAAATCTGTCAAGGTCATGAAAAACAAAGGAAGTCTAAAAAATTTTCACTGGAAGAGGAGCCTAAGGAGACAAGACTACAGCATGTAACATGGTACCCTGGATAGGACCCTGGAACAGAAAAACCCAGAAAACTTGAATTCGAATTAATAGAATTGCACTAACATTTGTTCATCAATTGTGCCAAATGTACCATCTTTTGCAAAATAGTAACAGGGAAATAGTGTAGTATATAAAATAATTTTCTGTACTATATTCACAATTCTGTACATCTAGAACTATTCAACAATAAAAATTTTATCAAGAAAAACTAAAGAATTCATGGAAGGAAAGATAACATAAGGCAAGTCATCAACCCTCTCAGGATCTCAGCTTTTATGTGTTTATAAAATTTGGTGTCACTCCTTGGGACTTTTATATGGGATAATTAATCTGTTGATGATTGTAAAAGGAAGATACTAAAAAACCACACAAAACAAAATACAAAGCCTTTCTAGGCATTAAGAAAAGTTAAAGCACATTTTTTTCCCTTGGAAATAAAACTTCTGGTATTCATTGACTACACATGGCTATACCAGCGATGCTCTGAATTGTTTTTTATGAGAGTAAACTGAGCAGATCCTTCAATGCCATTCTCATCATCGCATCTTTCAGATGGTCTCAAAAGGAAAGAATGTTGCTCTACAGCTGAAGATTAAAGAATCTGACCAACAGAGAAGGCAGCAATAGTGATTGCTTTTATGTTCTTACTCTAAATTTTAGTTAAAAAATAAAAAAGCTGGTTAGGTGCCTGTGGCTCAGGTGGCTAAGGCGCCAGGCACATACACCTGATCTGGCAGGTTTGAATCCAGCCTGGCCCACCAAACAACAATGACGGCTGCAACCAAAAAATAGCCAGGCGTTGTGGTGGCTGCCTGTGGTCCCAGCTACTTGGGAGGCAGAAGCAGGAGAATTGCTTGAGCCCAGGAATTGGAGGTTGCTGTGAGCTGTGACGCCACAGCACTCTACCCAGGGTGACAGCTTGAAGCTGTCTTGGAAAAAAAATAAAAATAAAAATAAAATAAAATAAAATAAAATAATAAAAAAGCTGGCTGGGGGCCTGTAGCTCAGTGGCTAGCACGTCAGCAACATACACTGTAGCTGGTGTGTTCAAATCCATTCTGGGCCTGCCAAACAATAATGACAACTACAACCAAAAAATAGTCAGGTGTTGTGGCCTGTAATCCTAGCACTCTGGGAGGCCAAGGTGGGTGGATTGCTGGAGCTCACTTGTACCAGACCAGCCTGAGTCAGAGCAAGACCTTGTCTCTGAAAATAGCCGGGTGTTGTGGCGGGCACCTGTAGTCCCAGCTACTTGGGAGGCTTTGATAAGAGAATCACTTAAGCCCCAAGAATTTGAGGTGCTGTGAGCTGTGTCGCCTCTATTGAGGGCGACAAAGTGAGACTCTGTCTAAATAAATAAATAAATAAATAAAAGCTGTGTCACCTTCCAGGGTTTGACATCTTCCCTACCTTTGAAGACATAATGTTTTTAACTTCCTCATCTGCTGTGGAGTGCGTGGTCCCTGCGAGGTCCGGATTACTGCTGCTCATCACCCGGGCCTGCAGCAGCTTCGAGCTCACAGCAGCAGCAGACGTGCGCCCATACGTGTGGTAGCGGGGGTCTGGGAGGGCTGTGGGTGCACCTGCACCCCACCAGGCATAGATATGTCAACAGAAAGGGGACCAGAGTCACTTCCTGAGCTTAAGAAGGAATGGATAAGGGACAGGCTAGACACAAGCCCTCTAGACTTGGTCTTGGAATTAAGGTCTTGTTATCAAGTGCCAGGGGTGGAGTGGGGAGGAAGGCATTCTTTGGGGGGAAGTAGATAGGTCCCGGGGCACTGAGGAGTGGTGAGGACTATGGTAAACTGGAGACACACACCTCATCTACAGGCAGGGCTGCTACTCAGCTCCAGCCAATTATTGCCATGGGAATCAGACCACCCTAGCATTGCCAGAGCTTCTCATTTCTCCCAGGAAGCTGAAAATGAGGCAGTGCCCGTAGCTCAGTAGGTAGGACGCCAGCCACATACACCCAGCATGGCAGGGTCCAACCAGACCCAGGCCAATTAAAGCAACAATGACAATTGCAACAAAAAAATACCTGGGCTTTGTGGCGGGCGCCTATAGTCCCAGATACTTGGGAGGCTGAGATAAAAGAATCGCTTAAGCCCAAGAGTTTGAGTTTGCTGTGTGTGGTGACACCACAGCACTCTACTGAGACTCTTGTCTAAAAAGAAAAGAAGAAGAAGCTGAAAATGTGGGCATTTTTTATTTATTAATATTTATTTTATTATTATTATTATTTTTTTAGATAGAGCCTCAAGCTGTCACCCTGGGTAGCGTGCTGTGGCATCACAACTCACAGCAACCTCCAATTCCACCTCCTGCCTCCACCTCCCAAATAGCTGGGACTACAGGCACCCGCCTGGCTATTTTTTGGTTGCAACCATCACTGTTGTTTGGTGGGCCCAGGCTGGATTCGAACCTGCCAGCTCTGGTGTATGTGGCCGGTGCCTTAGCCACTTGAGCCACAGGTGCCAAGCCATTTATTAATATTTAAATGTTCACAGTTTTTAAATTCACGAAGTTAGGTTTCCTGAGATTCAAAACTCCATAGAGTCACTTGAACCTTCTGAGAATAAACACATACCATGTATGGATGATTTTTATCTTTAAGTATTTGCATATTTGAAAAATGTTTGTATGAGTCTATCAGATATTACTAGTATTTTAAAAATGCAATTAACATTACAGATTTCAGACAGCACCTGTGGCTCAAAGGAGTAGGGCCCTATATATCGGAGGTGGCAGGTTCAAACCCAGCCCTGGCCAAAAACTGCAAAAAAAAAAAATTACAGATTTACTTGCAATGAGGGTGCCTGCCAGTCTATTAGGGTGCATAGACTAATAAAAATGCCAAGTTTATCTGGGCCTGGAATTTTGTGAACTCATTGCTGCTACTTCTTACATCATGCTGCCCATGGGGAAATGGGTTATTACTGTTTCAAAAGTTCAGTTTGGGGGAAATGACAAACAGGATTTATTTTCTCATAATAAAAAGTTTAAGAACCATGATATATATATTATTTTCACCATTAGATATATATTATTTTCACCAGGTGCGGCGGCTGACACCTGTAATCCCAGCACTGGGAGGCCAAGGTGGGCGGATTGCCTGAGCTCATGAGTTTGAGACCAGCTTGAGCAAGAGTAAGACCCTGGTCTCAAAAAAACAGCCAGGATGGGCGGTACCTGTGGCTCAGTGGGTACCCACCAGCCCCATATACTGAGGGTGGCAGGTTAAAACCTGATCCCAGCCAAAGTGCAACAAAAATAGTTGGGCATTGTGGCTAGTGCCTGGAGTCCCAGCTACTCGGGAGGCTGAGGCAAGAGAATCGCCTAAGCCTAGGAGTTGGAGGTTGCTGTGAGCTATGTGATGCCAGGGCACTTTACTGAGGGTGATAAAGTGAGACTCTGTCTCTACAAAAACAAACAAACAAAAAAACAGCCAGGCATTGTGGCGGGTGCCTACAGTCCCAGCTACTTGGGAAGCTGAGGCAAGAGAATTGCTTGAGCCCAAAAGTTTGAGGTTGCTGTGAGCGGTCTATCAAGGGTGACAAAGTGAGACTCTGTCTCAAAAAAACAAACAAAATATATACACACACATATACATATATACATCTATATGTGTGATATATATATATACACATTTTTTTTCCCCTTATCATTAGTATCCTGGAATTCTAGGGATCCACTGGCACTTTCCCATTTTTTGAAAAACAGCTCCTCAACTGAATCATAAACTGGCACGTGGGTAAAGGCCAGTGAGGGATTATCAACGGGCACACAAATGGGCTTAAAGTGTAAAAAGAGTAAGGAGGAAGGAAGAAAGATCTACAGAGAAATTCTTCTGATTTCAGCATTCATACATGTTTTGTATCATTCTGAAAAATAAAATGGAACTTCTGGGTGTTTTCTTGTGAGTGACATGGCAACCGGGGGAGATGTGACCCCATGCCGCGGAGCGCTACCTGGCTTGGGCGAGTCGCGCTGCAGCGAGGGCAGGCGGAAGACGTAGTGCACGTAGGAGGCCAGCAGGCAGTTCCTCCCGTGCTGGTCCTTGCTCAGGTCCTTGCTGTTGTGCAGGCTGTTGGCGATGGCCACCACGGACTCGAAGGCAAACTGGGAGAAGTTGGCTGAGAAACCAAGAGAAAAGTGGGTGATGCCAGTGCATCCTGACCATTCACTGACCTACGTGACAGGGCTGCTGAAGACTGTGGCCCGGCCGGGTGAGGCCCAGGCTGGGGCTCTGCTTACCACAGATGACCTCACACTCCCTTTTTGTGCTTCCTCCTCCTGCCACTAATTGGCATGATGATTTTTCATGGGAAAGACCTGACTGTCCAGATGTCTCTCCTCTCTGAACCACGCTGTATCTGGTGCTACTCAGTGGGGGCTGCAAACTGACATTATCAGCGTCACTGAGATGCTACTTAGAAATGCAGAATCTCACCCTCCACCCTGGACCTACTGTGTCAGAATCTGCATTTTCATCAGTCTTAAAGGAGACCCCATAGCCTTTAGCAGTCATCAGGTGATGCTTATGTCTGCTCTGACTTGACCCGTGTGGTTACACAACTCAGATTCTTGTACAGATTAACCTAAAAATGTATGCATAGCATGGCAGTCCTCACAGCGGGTCAATACAGACTCCTGATTTACTGGAGATACCCTCCTGATCTGGTGTTCCAAGCCTCCGGAGTTTGGCTCCAACCTACTTATCCAACAGAGTACCCTTTTTTGCCCATGTTTAACTTCCCTTAAAAGAGGCAATCATCCTATTATCCCATCAGATGGCCACTCTTTCTTACCTCTGTGACTATTCGCATGCTGTGGTCCTCACCTAGAAAGCATTCCTTGCTCCTATCTGTAAACTCTGATATTTTAGTACAAGTCCCAGCTTCTCCAGGAAGACTCTGGTACCACCCCAGTACAGGGCTTAAGGGAAACTGAATTATGCCCTATCCCAACCAGTCTACTCTGACCCTGGTCATGCCTCTAATAATGCTCTAATAATAATGCTTTTGACATTATTCCCAAAGGAAATTTTATACATTGTATTTAATTTGTTAAAAATAAGTATTTAAAATAGACTATAAGAGAGAAAACAGGTGAGTGGTTACCAGGGGGCTAGGAGGAGGGGTGACTGGGAAATGACTGCTAAAGGCTACGGGGTCTCCTTTAAGACTGATGAAAAGATTCTGGAATTAGATAGTGATGGTAACTGCCCGACCTTGTGAATATACTAGAAACCACTGAGTGGTACACTTTGAAAGAGTGAATTTATGGTTTGGGTATTGTATTTCAATAAAACCCCCAGTCACACTGCATTTCAGTTTAGAGTTCCTTCCCTCCATTTAATATGGGTTGTGTTACTTCTTTAAAATGCCGTATTCCTTTGTTAATAAAAAAACCCCCAAAATATCTTAGAGGCAAAATAAAGGCCTCAATTACCAGGAAAGGGATTTAAAAGACTGTCTCTAATCATGCAATAAAAATATATGTAAAACAAAGCCATAATATTAAGAACCCTATTTTAATATTTCTGTTTCATTTTAAACATGCACAGAGTCTCAAAAAAATAGCACTGAACTTGGCCTCCCTTGAACTCAGGAAAGAAAAATCACCTTGTCCCCAAACCAGGTTTCTGTAGTATAGTGGTTATCATATTTGCCCAATGTTGTCCCCAGACTCTTTGGAAAATGATGTTTCATTGACCAGGACAATGCCCAGCTGCTCCTGCCTTCTCCCAGCCCCGAGGCCTGTTACCTGTCTGGCCTGCGATGACCATGGGCTGCACAGACAGCTGGAAGAGCTTGTCCAGCACCAGGTGCAGGAAGAGCACCAGCGGCTCCAGGCGGGACGAGTTCAGGCAGATGATACTGAGCTTCAGCTCGTGCTCCAGAGCTGTCTCACTGATCTTCTGGTCCAGCACACGGATGGGGAAGGTCACCTGGCTCTCCAGGGAGTGGCAGAGAGTGAAGAACTTCTCCAGGTGATTGTCCTGGGGAGGCAGAGAGCAGGCATCAGGGGGTCCTCACCCCATCAGTGCTCACCGATGGATTCATAAACACAATCAAACAGCTCTTTATGGGTAGAACTCCTTATCCAGGTTTCAGACCAGAAGTTCTAAGACACGATGTTCTGACCAAAGTTATGAACTTCTTTGTAGAATACGGTGCACAAAATAGGACCTATGAATAATTATTAACTAAACAAAAAGTAACTTATGCTTTGGCACCGCAGAGGTCAGCATACCAGGTAGACACACTGAACTGGCAGAATTATAGAGGGAAATGAGATCACAGCAGACAAGTCTTTCAAATCAAGTCTACCCAGAAAGTTTCTCAATGGACAGTACAGAGACTAGGTCCTTTCATTTAGGTGCTTGATATTTTTATAAAGTCTTTTTATTCAAATGACAGTTAAAACCTGAATAGGCTTGCAAATGTCCACAAAGAACTAAGGTTTTTTTTAAATTTATCCTTAGACAAAGATGTTCATTGTTTCATTTGTTTTTTAGCCTGTCCTTAGGTTTCTCTGCAGCATCTTCATCTTCACTATTAGCCGTCAGGGACTGATTTGAAGTTGGCCCTGACGTCCCTTACCTGGGTGTGAACGGAAGAAACAGCCTGCACTTCAATATTAAAAACTCCTTTATGTCCTTCAGCCCATTTAATGGGAGGATTCTGTAAAGGGACTTTCTGTGTTAAAGAGAGAGAGAGAAAAAAAGATTAGCAATCCAATCCCCTTTTCTGATTACAAAGAGTGCAAAGCAACTTGCCTATAAATGTCAGGTTTATACAAATAAAAAACTCTCTTAAAAACTACTATAGCTGATGTTGGAGGCAGAGCCCTGGGTTCAACGTTGTAATTCTGCTCCAAACTAGTGATTTTTACTAAGACAAGTCAATTAAACTCTCTGGGCCTTGGTGTTCTCCTGTTGCAAGAAGGCTGAACTGGGCAGTCTGTCTCTAAGCTCCCGTCCAGCATTGATGATCCTGGACTCTGAAGACTGAAATAAAGTAAACTTCCAGCAATTTTCCCATTAATTGAGAATGTCAGGACAAAGTATAGAAAGTCTTTACAAGACATGAAATTCTAAAGCTTTTGAGTAACTGAAATTAATTTCCATCTGAACAAAGTGTTTCTAAGCAGCAGGCCTGTTTGACTCCTGCTTTGACTACTCATAGTGATTCTTTTATACCATTTCTGTGTCAATATGTGTGCGCGGGCCTTAGAGGCAGTGTCTTGCTTTAAGTTCCCATTGGAATTGCGTTCCTCTAGAGATGCCGTTTGGTGTTGAGGGAGGGGGGCCTAGTCTGGGTCTGTATCTGTCTCATTTTAATGGAAGGAAGCATGCTATACTTGGAAGGGTAGATGTGTGCCTGGGATGCAGACCTTTGGGGCCAGTCACAAAGGGCAAAGTCACAAACTGGGGCTCAAAACTTGCCCCAGCCCCAGAGAGTGTTAGAAAGTTTTTGAATTGCCAACATTTGAAAGTTAGAAAATTTCCCATAAAAGACTTCTCTTCTAACTTCATTTTAGAACTAGAAGGTATGACAACATTAGCCTCCAGCATGGCACCAATCTGCACAACCAAGGGAAGGCCAGCAGGACCTTTAGAAGGGATAGACAGTCCTGAGAGTGAACAAATCTCACCATGCCCACACGTTCATACGTTATTCCTCCAATGCCTGTGGGCACAAGTTTGCCATCTTTGATCCAAAATGGCACTCTCCAATGGAAATACACTATGAGCCATACGTGTACTTTTATTTCTGTTCTCTTATTTTTATTTTTTGGAGACAGGGTCTCACTATGTTGCCTGGTCTAGAGTGCAGTGGGGCCATCATAGTTTGACCTCTAACTCCCAGGCTCCAGTGATCCTTCTGCCTCAGCCTTCCCAGTACCTGGGACTACAGATGTGTGCCACAATTCCTGGCTAATTTTTGTATTTTTTGTAGAGACGGGGTCTCATTAAGTGGCCCAGGCTGGTCTCTGACTCCTGCTCTTATGTGATCCTCCAGCCTTGGTCTCCCAAAATGCTGGGATTACAGATGTGAGCCACCGTGCCCAGCATGCATCCTTATCTTTTAAGATACATACTAAAATATTTATAAATAAAATGATATCACACCTGGGATTTGCTTCAGAATAACATTTGTTGATGTAAACCTATACAGGGAGCTGAGACGTGTGAAGTGGTGCTGGTGTGGTCAGGATGGAGAGTCCCCTGGCTCCCTTTAAGAGGGTGCATTGCAGCAGAGTAGATGGGTGAGAGGAAGTGCAAGAAATAGGTGGGGGAATTGGCCCTGGGATCGTTAGAGCAGTGGTTCTCAACCTTCCTAATGCCGCAATGTATTTTCATTGTTAAAAAGGGGTCGCAACCCACAGATTGAGAACCACTGTTTTAGAGGAATAAGACCAGCAGTAACAACCTGGGGGCTGTGACAATTGACCCGAGGAAAATGGATAGAAACTGGCCAGCGAATCTTTTATAAGGATCCTTGCTGGGAGCCGCTGCTTATCACAGGTGGGCTCAATTTGCCTCCTTTTCTGTAATTTATTATTCTGAGGTAGATAATGCAATGTAAGGCTGCCTTGGGTGCAGGTTGTATCCACTAGACATTCTGATTTGCTGCCCTCTAAAGGAATGAGGTTTCCCAGCCAGTTGTTACTCCCTCCCATGCTGTGAGAACAATGTGTAATCAGAAGACAGTGTGCTCTGGAAAACCCAGGGAGCATTCTAGGCTACATCTAAGAGAAGGGGAAGGGCATCTGGGAAGGTAATCCAAGACTGCGGCTGGACAAGAAGCAGCTGGCGGCCAGCTTGCTGGTTACCTCGGCAGAATGCATGGAGTAGTTGGGTGGCAGTTTTTCTAAGGCAACTGGGAGACAGTAGGATCCAGTCTGAAGACGTTCGTTTAAGAGAATTGGCAGCCACTGAAACAGATGATGTAAAGAGTAAAGCGGTATTTATTACAGCATATGATTCTGGTCATTTATCTAGCTCACAATCATCAAATGCAACTAAACAATGATTAGATATTGACCAGGGCTCTTTTGGGCAGTAATTTCTGTCAAGTTCTTTGCATTTTAAATTCCCCGAGAGCTCCTGAGATGGTAATATCAATGATTTACTGCTTTCGGAGCCAAAGCAGTAGCATTTTTCTTCATAGCCAATGTTTGTGTGTGTCTGAGCAACATCACTGTTCATTTTGCCTTTTATATTTTTGAAAGAAATAACTGTTTCCCCCTTGGGGGGAAAAGACCTAGTTGTATATGTGATGTGTACATATTAAATTTAAAAATAACAGACATTGCAATGCTTCTTTAAAAAATGAGTATTCCTTCAGTGTCTATCACCTGCTAGCTTTCCAGTCCTGAAATGTGATGTTTGCTAAGTCAAACCATTTCTGTTCTTTGCCATGATCTGGTTTAGCATGTTTTGCTACTTCTGACAAGATACAAAGCAAGTGAATAGAATTTAATTGTTTATCTCAGCAGGGGCCTTGGATGCACCAACAGCCGCAGCATGAGTCGGCAAGTTACAAACAACTCACTGAATATCCCAGCAGACTTTCTACGGAGGCTCCTTGCTTCTGCTGACAGCTGATGTGATAGAAGGTGAACAGGAGGTGATGATGGACTGTGAGCTTAGCAGGGAGCTTAATTTTCACTTCTTCATAAAAATCAGGAGACCTGTTTCAAAAGCACATTGTACACAAATAGCTTTTAGCAAGAAGGATGACTTCTCTGACTCTAAATTGTAACACCACAGACCCTTTGCTCCTCAGAATTTGCCTGCCTGGCGTTAAGGCTTCCCATTTCACATTGTTCTGCTCCTGAGCAGGAAGTCCTTGAGACCATGTTATTAGATACATGTCAGTTACACCACCGCTCACCAACTAAAGCCTTTGTCAGGAAGAAACTCCTCCCACATGATGGAAAAAGACAGCAACTTAATTTGAAAGGGGATGAGGTGCCTTACTAGGACTCCTCTGTCCATCTCTGCCCCCAGAAGAGAGCCTGCCCATGGCTGCTGTCATCAAGGGACAGGAGAAGCAAATGAATGATGCAGGAGAGACATGTTAACTGAATTAGGGAGTCCTCGCTGATTCACCGAGAGCTTCTTCACGTACATTACCTCATCTAATCTTATCCCAACCCTGGAATGTGGTCAACTGACGTACTTGAATGGGCCATGGGCCGAGGTTACACTTACTGATGTAAACGTGTGCAGGGAGCTGAGAAGTGTGATGTGGTGCTGGTGTGGTCACGATGGAGAGTCCCCTGAGCTCCCTCTAAGAGGGTGCATTGCAGCAGAGGGGCTGGGCAAGAGGAAGTGCAGGAAACAGGAGGGGGAACTGGCCCTGGGATCTTTAGAGGAATAAAACCAGGGGTAACCACCTGGGGGCTGTGATAATTGACCCAGAGGAAAATGGATAGAAACTGGCCCGGGAGTCTTTTATAAGGATCCTTGCTAGGCCAGGATCAAACCCAATTCTATCTGACACTGCACAGATGTCCCTCTGTTAACTGTGGAATGTGAGCAACAGTTTAGACATGATTCTGTGACTCAACTGCTGATATATTAATGAGAGTGCTGTGTTTCCTTTGGGCAACTTAAAGTTTGTACTGGGGCAGGTGCGGAGTGCTCCAGAGGACAAGGACATACGCAGGAGAACTGGAGCCTGCTTCTGGCCACTCCAGTACCTCAAAGCAAGTTAGAAAATTTATCTTTTTAACATTATACAACCTGTCTGGATCACAGTAGGATAGAAGTCTCCAGAAGAGTCAAAACCATATTTGAGTCTTGAAGATACATTCTTTTTTTCAGTTTTAGTTAATGGCAAAGTTATGCATCTCCAACACAGGATCACGGAACTGGCATGAATTTCCTTTGTCCCCGAATTATCAAAACTTTTGGGAAGAATCACCCAGGGGACTCAGAAAAGCCAGGAGATAACGAAACAGTCTTGCATATATTTAGAACTCTGAAATATACTTACTTATTATGGTATGTAATGGCTGTGTACACTTCCTGCAGAAATTCAGGCCCACTGGACTTTCCAAAGATGACCTGTTCACCAATATATAAAGGATCAAACTAATAGCGACATTTGGGTGCTATCAAATTGACTATCATCAGGTTAACAGAGTGTTCTGGTCTCACAGAGCTGTATTTTGTACATTAAGAGTTCTGGGGCGGTGCCTGTGGCTCAAAGGATAGGGCGCCGGCCCCATATGCCAGAGGTGGCGGGTTCAAACCCAGCCCAGGCCAAAAATAAATAAATAAATAAAAGAAAAGTTAAAAAAAAAAAAAGAGTTCTGATTTCTATAACTGGTCCTACTGGTGCAGAAGAATTGGCTGTGAAAGGGAAACTGAGGTTCCAAGGGGCTTTATTAGAGACTAAAGGCCACAGGCATGTGCAATAGAAACAGCTTTGACCCCTAACAATAATTCTTCCCTGTGGAACCAAGAAGACCGAGATGTGACCAGAACCCAAATGGACTCTTTCACAAACAAGGGGTTTATTGGCTCAGAAGGTCCAGGGCTACCCCAACATACCTAGCTGTAAAGGATCAAATCAAAAGCCAATTAACATTCCTAAATCCATTCCCTTGTCCGCCACGCACCAGACTCCAAATTGTAAAGACAAATTTGAATCTGTCTCCTGCCTTCTTACTGGCTGGTGTCACCATAAAGCCCCCCTTTACTCAAGAGCTGGTCCCATAGTATTAGCTTCTGTGTGCATCAGGCAATGAGCCCATATGTTTGATAACAAGGGCACACTGCATTATATATTATTCGATATCTATTTTGCCTCAGGCTGAGGATCCATTCTTAAAAAGTGTTGAGGTGGTGTGTTTTTGTTACCCATGTTATTATTTTTTAATTATTATTATTAAAGCATAGCTGTTGTTACGCATATCATGAGATAGTACTTCACATGGATTATTAGCAGATGTGACCTGAGGCTTGGGTAAGTGTGTAATGCAGCGTATACGCAGAAGATGTTCAGCAAACGTGGCAGACACTGGAGCCATCTCCTTACCTTATACGCTTTAAGAGCGGTGGTCCTATGGGTAACATGGAAAGACCTTATGATTTTTTTTTCAGTCCTCTAAAATGATCTATATTGCAAAGTCTTTCCACCGAATAAGTTAAGAAAGGGGCTTTCAGTTTAGCCTGACCTTGTTTCCCCATCAGTGGGGAACAAAAGCCTTCGCACCTGCTGAGTAGCATTGGCTTGAATCAGACGTTCTCTGTACATTGACGAGCCCTGGATTTGATCCATGTGAATTGACCAGGGAGTACAGCCCACCCTGGTTTGAGGCAAATGTTTATTTCCCTGCTTACCGGCATAGCACTGCTAGCATCTTCTCCACACATAAACTGAATCTTTATTGTAATATTCCGGGCAGATGCTAGCTTGTTAGCGAAGTTCAGCCTCTGTGGGTAGACGTAGAGAAGATTTCTGGAAAAGAAAAGAAAAAGAATCAATAAACAGGTCTAGAGTTTATTTTAACCAAGTTCTTCAGTGAATGCTGAGGTCCAGACTCGTGGGGTGATTATTCTGAAGGAGAGTTTTCTTTCAGAAGTGAAGAATTGGGGGAGGAGTGAGTGAATTACTGTTGATTCTTCCTCCCCAGCTGCAGTCATCTGAAAATAACCAATATTGCTCTCTGGTTTGCTACACGTAAAGATACGCCCGCCATAGATCAGACAGTCTTCACGTCTTAGGATGTAGACGTTTGCCTAGAGGAAATTGTACCTCTCTCACACAGATAAGAAAGGAAGAAAGGCTCAGTTAATTTTATCTTGCCCAATAATGAATGCTCTCAGGTATTCTAGCAGAAAAACAATGCTTGGAACCATCAGAAATGCACAGGAGCTGTTACTTTGCATGTTCCCAAGTTGAAAGACCGTGGAGGTAAACACATAGCATTCCTACATGTCTCCTACTCCCATCTCCAAGTTGGGTGATTCACTGGAGGCAGGAACGGGGTGACAGTGCCAGATCAGATTTGTTCTGCTCCCAGCACTGTGTCCTGTGACCCCCAGGCTGATGTGGCTTTTGCACAGTGGTCATTACTGTGGCCTGGAAGGACACACTATTACCCTTGATTTGGCCTTTGTTTCCAGCCCTTTCTCGCTACTTGTTAGTCCCCTATCTGAGTCACAATTAGTTGCAAATGATCAACTGCACCGACCACTTCTTACATTCAAATGGGTAAGATGATAAATGCAAGGCAACAATTTCATCAAAAGGAAATAGGATTTACTTAGATGATGGGCAGAATACACAACGACTCCCACTGTCAGTGAAGTGTAGATGGGCCACTCAGAAAAGCGGATGTCAGGCCATGACAGAGTAAAGGGATTCACACAGAATTCCGGGGTGCATGAGCTCCAGCTTTAAAGATGAGACAGCCTGCGAGTTAGCTACAGAGCAGGCAGAGCTGCTATGGGCACTGCTGTTTCTATTCTACCACGCGTCTGTCTCAGCAGCACCTCCCAAATCTCGCTTTGCCTCAATTAAGGCAGCCCAACCCTGACGCGGTAGATAGAGTTGAACCACACGTGCTATCAGGAGAGGATGTGGGTGTGGCAATGGTGAAGACGGAAGAGAGTTTACAGTTGGGGTAGAGCGTGTGTGGGATACAGACCCCTCACTGCTCACTGCTCACTCTTGCTCATCTCCACGGCCACCAGTCAATAAGCAGAGCTAACGCTGATTGAGTAGTAGCACTGGGATTGGTTAAGGGTGTTGGCTCTGGGGCCAATGAACTCGGATGTGAATCCCACTGTTGCTTGTTGTGGAATATGACCTTGAGCAAGTTACTCAGCCTTTCTAAAGCTCCTATGGGGCTAATAACTGCACTGATGTCATAGGGCTGTGGTGAGCATTAGTGAGCAAAACTTGATGAATGATAGCTATTATGATGATTATTCCTCCACACAGGGAATAAGCCAGATAGGTGCACAGTCCAACCCACAGGGCTGTCTCTCCACCCCAAACCACCCCCAGGTCTCACACAGACACTGCACTGCTTTCCCAACTGCGTCTGACTTCATGCTTGCCCCTTACACCCTTCCTTACCTATTGGTCAGAAGGCTCTTTCAAAGATGTAAAGGAAATGATGTCAGGCCTCTGCACAGGATTCCCCAAATTTCCATCACGGTCCTACGTGTTCTGGCCCTTGGCAATGTCTCTGATCTTATCTCTCGTCACCCTCCCACACTGGCCTTTTTTCAAAACCTAGAAAATTCCAAACATATTCCTTCCGCTGGGCTTTTGTACCTGGTTCCCCAGAGGGCTCCCCGGCTCTCAAAATACCTGGTTTTTCCTCATCTCTTGGGTTTCAGCTCACATGTCGTATGTGAGGGCTTTCCTACTGTTCTATTTAATTGGTCCCTTCCATTCTCACACACATTTCCTCTCTTTTATAATCATAAGATTGTCATATATTAAGTTGATTATGAAAGTAATGTGTGCCCATTTTTTTTTCAATCACAAATAATTGAGAAGTACAGAAAAGTATGAAGAAAAAAATAGCCACCACCTGTGGGTCATTACAAAAGTTTTGAGATACACAAAAATCAAGACATGTAAAATCTGACCCTTCATCCTGAGTCTTGTTTTGTCATAAAAAAGATGGAGACTTTACATCTTTTGTATTAACCCGGATGGAGCTGAAGAACATTGTCCTTAGTAAAGCGTCACAAGAATGGAAAAGCAAGTATCCAAAGTACAGAACATTAATATGAAACCAGTGGATGAACAACAACAGTGGGAAAACCCCAAATCAAGTGTGGTGGGGAGGAGAGAAGGGGGAGGGGGACTGGTATGCTCTCACCTAACGGGGTAACCGGGGTGTATGGTACACCTCCTGGGTGAAGGGCTCTACTACAACTTGGACTTCACCTAACAAGTGCAAATGACGTAACCTAATCATTTGTACCATTATATCAATCTGAAATTAAAAAATGAATAAATCACAACCGGTGTGCGTGTGTGTGCGCGTGTGTGCATGCTCGTGCTTGCGCGCACACGCGCGCGCACACACGCGCGCATACACACACACACAGAGAAATGTAAAATCTGCTTGGAAGGGAACAGATGAAGCCCTCCGGCAACACCAATAAGCCGAGCAAGTTGAAACTTGCACGAGTGAATGGGAAAGGACGCTGTTGACTGTTTCTTAGGAGTGAAATAATAGACAGAGTCTGTCTCAAAACTTTCATAATAACTTAGTACCACTGCACTGAGGAAAATCATTGTTAAGACATTAGCATATTTCCAATTTAGACATGATATACAAAGACTTATCTTGTTTTTGTGTCACTTAATGTTATTCAATTATGACCATTTCCCCAGTGTGACAAAATATTCTTTTTTTTTTTTCCTTTTTCAGACAGAGTCTCATTCTGTTGCCCTGGGTAGAGTGTCCTGGCGTCACAGCTCTCAGCAACCTCAAACTCTTGGACTCCAGTGATTCTCTTGCCTCAGTCTCCCAAGTAGTTGGGACTACAGGTACCCGCCACAACACCCGGCTAGTTTTTCTATTTTTAATAGAGATAAGGTCTTACTTTTGCTCAGGCTGGTCTCGAACTCAAGCGATCCACCTGCCTCAGCCTCCCAGAGTGCTAGTATTACAGGCATGAGTCACTGCACTAATATGCTTAATAAACATGATTTTAATGGCTGCATGGTATTTCATATGTTGATTGTGCTGTAATTTACATGGGTCTCCAAAAATAAGCCTCTAGATCATGTCCTTATTTCTAATGATAAAGCCGTGATGGACACTCTATACTAATATATCTTGCCCCTCTACAAGTGTAGCATACTTTGAGAAGAATCCCTTTAAATTCTCCATTCTTCGTTTCTTTATCTTTGAATTAATTGAAAAGACACTAATCCATCTTTCTTTAATGCAATGACTGAAGGAATAATGAACCAGGGTTTGTAGAAAATGCTTTGAAGTAGCTGAAAGAAAGGGGCTGTGTAAATGCTAATAGTAGTAGCCCTGCCCTGGCAGGCTGCTGTCTCCACTCTCATCTCTCATGTTCCCCTGCAGGTGTCCGGCCACCCTGTCCTACACACTTGCAAGACTTACCAACAATTTTGCACGTTGCTCACCCCTGTGGTCAAACATCACTACCCCAGGTATTCCGTGGCATCCTGCCCCACGCCACATGCACTGTCCATAGAGCACACAGCTGGAAGGCAACTTTGAGAAAATTTAGTCCTTTAGTCCAACACCTCTTTTTTTGCAGGCCGGGTAACTAAGTCCCAGGAAGCATAAATGACTTTGCCTAAAAAAAATTTTTTTTTGAGACAGAGCTTCAAGCTTTCGCTCTGTGCAGAGTGCTGTGGCATCACAGCTCACAACCACCTCCAACTCCTGGGCTCAAGTGATTCTCCTGCCTCTGCCTCCCAAGTAGCTGGGACCACAGGCGCCCACCACAACACCCAGCTATGTTTTGGTTGCAGCCGTCATTGTTGTTTGGTGGGCCTGGGCTGGATTCTAACCCGTCAGCTTAGGTGTATGTGGCTGGCACCTTAGCCATTTGAGCCGCAGGCACCGAGCCAGCTTAAAATTTTTTTAAAGATGTGTCTCCCAAGCACCATTAGCTAAGTGGTACGTTTTGTAAACTGGCCTGGCTTAAATGACTAGAGGATAAGAATGTTTTCTCTTGGGAAGGAAGGTCTGCCTGCACGGTCCATAAACCAGGTCAGAGTAATTATTGACAAACTGATAAATAGGTTCCCATGTCTCACGTTAGCCAGAGAAAAGCCAAAGCATTATGAGAGGACAGCCCATGACCTTGGTGGGATAGCCCATGTTATGAAGGCAGAGGTCTTTCCAAGCATCCTTAGTACTAGAGGTCCAGTGTACGTGCCAGACATTTAGGATCGTCTCATCTTTGCCAGATGTGGACAAAAGTGGTTTTCTTCAATCATATGGCATCACCACAGAAAGAATAGGACGTTTGGTATTCAGAAGCAATTTTCTTTCCAGAGCCCCTCCAGATGGCTTTTCTTGATTACAGATTGTTCTGGAAACTCCAAGTTCTTTTCACTGATTCAGCATCAAGTCCTCAACTTAATTTTAAACTGCCGTAATTGAGCAGCTCTGGGGTTAAATTGTGGAATTTGGTCATTTTTAGATCAAACTGTAGACCACACACTCTGTGCTCTTACTATCATGAGTCCAACTTCTATATTTTTTGCTGAGAACAGCTTAACCCAGGAACCTTGAGATCATTCAAAGCCGTAACGCTAAAGACATCATTTTGGCTCTCCTGACTTTTTGCTCTTCTTTATCTGGTGCAAGGAAACAAAGAGGAGAACCTGCCCTTGTTACTTATTCCCATGGTAGATAACATTGACGTGCTCTCCCAAGGGCTCCTACAGCTTGGAGCTAAGCTCAAGGAGCAAGTAATCTACAGCAAAAAGCATGCAGGGCA